TATTTTATTAAATGTATTCTAACCAATTGCCTTCTTTGTAGATTTCAAACAAGAAGAGTGTTAGCCGATCCCTTTTGGGTGCCACAAAACGATGGTTTGGTACAAATAAACCAGGTGCTCCTAATTCAAGTGTTCCTTCAAATGCTGTTATGTAAGTCCTGGAAAGCTTCGATCATTGTTCGTGTGTCAATACTCCTCTATTACTATTATTTAATTTTTTCCAGTTATTCTGGTGACGCACCTGAATTGCAACTACGAAGAATGGGTGATTTATGTTTTATGTTTCGCCACTATAAATTTGCTTTTGAAGCTTACCACTCAGCAAAACGTGATTTTGCTGCTGATGGAGCGTGGTTATATTATGCAGGAGCGTTAGAAATGGCAGCCTTATCCACTTTTATGATGGGTGAAGGTGGCCGTAAAGCCCAAGAATACTGTGAAGAAGCAATTCTTACCTACCTAAACACCTGTCGGTGTGTAAAAATGTTTTCTTAAACACATTGCAATATTTGTATTGTGCTGTCAATTCCAACCTAACTAAGGTCTCCTTTTTTCTAAAGCCTGCAGCAATTTGCCACCAGAAGCACCCTTCTGAGCACAGAATGTTTGAAGAGTAGAGCTCAGTACACAGATGCTGCTAAGCAGCTGCTCCGTATGACAAGTGAAGATTCTGATTTAAGATCAGCATTACTACTTGAACAGGCTGCATTCTGTTATTTACAGGCATCGAAGCCACCAATGCTTCGTAAGTTTTCCTTTCATATGGTCCTAGCTGGACATAGATTCAATAAAGCTGGTCAAAGGAAGCATTCTTTGCGATGCTATCAACAAGCATATCAGGTATTACAACTTCTTATATCTACAGCATAATTTAACCTGTTAATTTCAGTCTGACTGAACTTTTAAAAAAAATTATTCTAGATTTACAAAGGAAAGGGATGGAATTTGGCTGAAGATCATATCCATTTTACCATCGGTAGGCAAGCTGCCTATCTTCGCTTGACCGATATGTCTGCTCAGGCCTTTGGAAGACTATTTAACCCTGCTAGTAAACAGTCACCCCCACAGCAGGCAGCATTTTTACGAGAATATTTCCAAATATACCAAGTAAGTGTTGGCTAACTAAAAGTTAAGCTCCTAATTCAAAAGGCCGTTAAACATTTGTCTTTATTTTCTATTAGCAACTGCCCCAGGAAGCTGGAGTTCTACCAACATTACCCATACCCTTACTTAAAAGCTCCTCCATAGCAGTTCTCATGGGCCCCTTACCCCCACCTGTTGATAAGCAGCATGGTCCCATAATTTTTGCATCAAGACTTGACTTTGTTGATGACACACCTGATGAAGCAAGGTAGTCAATGGCTTTGATGCATGAAACATACCCTATCTACTTATAATTTTATTGATTGTTCTGATGACTTGCTTCCTTTCAGCTCCTGGTCACAATTGGAAGAAAGGCTTCTTACAGAGGCTCAAGGATCTGCACAACTGATTTTTAAGCCAATAGCAGCTCTTTTCACAAATCATACTGATAACAGTAAAAAGCCTCTTGCAGTCTTGGGAGGTAGGTTTAAATTTGAGGTAATACTTTCTCATATCTTGCCTAAAGTAATTAACCTTTCATTCATTACTTTTTCAGAGCCAGTTTCTGTCTCAGTCATAGTTCAGAACCCAACAGGTGTTCCCCTTCCTTTGTCAACTGTTCATTTACTGTGGTCGTTCAAAGTTGCATCAGACCCACCCAATGAAATATGGGTTGAAAATGAAATAACTTTAAGCAAAGAAAACCGGGGTCTCGTAGAAACATGTATTCTACCTCAGTTATTACTTGAGCCAAACTCAACAAGACAATTGGTGTTGTCTGTTATTCCTCTGAAACAAGGTGAATTGCGTCTATTAGGGATTGCTTACCAAATAAATTACTCAGTACATTCACCAGATGCAAATCAACCTTCTTCCAATTCACCTCCATTATCAGTACAAGGGAAACAGGTATTAGCAAAGTGGTCGCAAAAGCTTTGTACAGTTTTGAGGTGTCATTCATATTATAAGATATTATTTCATTCCTGTGGCAGATGTTTTCTTTGGAGCCAAAACGTGTTTTACGTGTTGGTAAGGAACGCCCCACTCAAGATAATAAGGTTGTTGAAGATAACCGTTTGAATGTGGTAATTGTGCCAGGAGCCCCCCAACTTCAGGTAAGAAAATACTCAAGCACCTATACCATTATTTCTATTCTATTATATTAAGATTCTCTGTTTCTAAATTCAAACTTTTCCTTCTGCTGAAGATCAAAATGATGGGTTTGGTATCTGAGATGCTTTGTGGAGAGCTGCAACAAGTTCAAATAGAGCTTACTAATATTGGAACTGGACCTATTCACAACCTTCTTATCGGATCAACAACACCGCAGCTGTTCTCCATCGTCAATTTGCCACACTTAGGTAAAACAGGTCAATCAAAGTTAGATGTTAATGTTAGTGTTAATTTTTGAAAATACTTCACACTTTTTCCACTTATTTAGAAAACGGACCCAAAGGTTTGCCTCAAGTTCAGAGGATACCACTGCAGAGCCCATTGCAACCACAACAGCAGCATACACTAACAATGTGGCTCAGGGCAGCAGATACCCCGGGTACTGTTGCCCTAAAGATGCTGTTTTATTTTGATAGTGGAAGCAACAGTTCTTTACCCAAGTAAAATAAATATCTTTATAAAATATTTTTTACAGGGTTATAGGGAGATGTTAATTAACTGCTTTACTTTTTTTAAATTTTAGGTATCGAATAGTGAGGCACTTTTGGCCATTAACTGTATTAGAATCAGTGCAGTTCAGTGCTGAAGCAAGTCGAAGCCAGGCGTTAAATGCCCAAGAAACTCTAAACATCAATACCAGAATAAAAAATACCAACAGAGTATGTTCTTTTTTTAGTGCTTAGATTGGAATCTGACATATCATTTGCCAAATGTTTTTAATTGTGTGTTCATTACCTGTTCTAGGTTCAAGATCTCCTATTAACAAAGATCTCTATATTGCAAGTATCATTGGCCAGCACTTCATGGGTTCTCAATGCTATTCCTGTCTCACTTTCTCAGCAAGGTACATAATTTAGATACAACTAAAGAATATTTAATGTCTTCAGTGATTTTTTTTATGGTTTTCCTGTACTGTAGTTTTACTATAAGCATGAACTTTTTTGACAATATATCAATTTGTGTTTTATTATCTTCTTCAGATACTGTTTTGAGCTCTCAAGAATCTGTTCAATTTCTTTTGAGAGCAAGTAATAGCACTCAAGGAGAGCAGCCAACATTTTCTGATCTAAAACTGTCCTCATCAACCTCGGAAGTTATTGAACCTTGTGCCAACCGCCCATATAGGGACTTTTTGCAGAGGCTTCCCCATGCCTCAGCAAAATCAGTAGACAAATCAAATATGACTGAAGCAGCTCTAAATATTTGTGTCACTTTGATTCTGAAATGGAAGGTATTGCCAGACACTTTACTGTTTTACCTTTAAGCTTTAACAGTCATTGTTTTTGTAATCCAACATGTTTTTCTTTCGGTTTCTTTTCTATTATTTCCAGGCTGCTGTTATGGATAGTGGTGGTGCTGTTCGTTCAGCATATGGTCAAACCCATCTTTCTCTTACTAGACTAAATATTCGAGTTGCTTGTCCTCCAGTTATTCAAAGTGTGATTGAAAAAGGGCCTGCTGTCTTGAGAGTATTTGGACCCGATAGGAATGTTCCTTCTGAGTCAGATGTAATAGCCAGTAAAGGTGTTATATCATTAGAAACAATGCAACAATTAGTTACATACAGTTTAAAACACCCTCCTCACCTTTCCCATGATTTCAATAGGCAGAGGTAAGTTGAGACAAGACTTAATATAGGATAGGGTATGTTGTATGCCTAAAACTGTTAAATACACTTTTTTTTTTTTTTTTTTACATTTACAGATTGTGTATAGTGGATGTTCAACTTATCCTACATAATTGCTGTGATTCATCTCTCTTCTCAAAAGTCAGTCTAGCTAATCTACCTAGGTAAGTCCCTCCTACTGCAATGCAATGTTACAATTGCTATGGTTGATGATCTTATTTGAAATGATGTGAAATCATTTTTTTGTTGCAGTGGTATGCCTTCAAAAAGTCAGCTTTACCTACCACATGCATCATCTGTTGTACGTTGGGTTGGGCGATTAGTTTCAAATGTGGAACTTTCTGCTAGATCTGCTCATACCGTTTGCCTACGTGCTGCCATTCCAGGACCTGGAACATACAATCTTGGCGCTCACCTACAAGTATTTTGTTCATTGTCAGGTGCCTCTGACAAAGAGGCTGTGTTACAGAGAATGCGTCTGGAATCTGCAATTGTTATTAGTGAAAAGTCAGTGGATGGTACAATTTCTAACAGTGGCAATCACCCAGGTATAGCAGTTTTGGCCTCATCATAAATATGAGCCAATTCCCTAAAATATTTGTTATTTAGTCTTGTTGATACTCAATATGAAACTCAAGTCAATGGCAGCCAGTAGGGACCAACAGCTTTAGTCAAAGTAGTGTTTATTTATGGTGATTAATTTAACTCGTGTGCAATGGGTTTCCCTTATCCATCCTCCCCCCTTTTCCCTCATGTTTTTTTTAAACGAAAAAACATACCTTGATATATCAGAAATTGTGATCTTATCAATTTGTGATAAATGTAACATGTATTTCCATATTTCTGATAGTAATATTATTGAAACACTTGGTGTTGATTATGAATGTTGCATGCTTTGTTATGTGTTTTGTATCTGTGAGAAAGGGTTACCCTCAAGCTACCCTTTATAATGGTGTGTTCAAGAAAGTCTTAGTCCCTAATTGTGTATTGTATGTTGTATGTGTTACTTTCTGTGATTTTTCAATGACACTACCATTCACAGACTGAAAAGGCACATATATTTACACAATGTTATGTACTTCTGAGGTTTCCACTTGTTGATATCCTACAAACCATGTGAGGCCTTTTTTAACAAAGCAATTTCAATGTTTGTTCATATTTTTTTCATATTTTCTGCAACTTTGTTTTTGTTGAGACCTCTTGACCTCTTGCACCCCAGTGTTATTTTAGATACTTTTTCATGTACCTTCTGTTTCTACATTCATTATTGTTTATGTTTTATTACTCCTACCTGTCTTCATTTTTGTTAGTATTTCTCGGATATTATGTTTTCCAATATTTTTTATTCTGATTGATGTAATCTTTTATAGAGGCATTATTTTAAAGAACCAAGCTCAATCATTAAGTTCAATTTCACCAAAGCTTTGTGCCTGCTTGCCTATGCAGGTTTATTAAAAAGAGAAAAGAAATTATGACAACTTAATTAAGAACTTCCACATTTCCATCGAACTGTTGTATCTTCTCCAGCCTTCAAGCTTATTATCTGAAAATTATCTAAACGTTTCAGAAGTGTTTTGTTTGAAACTACCATTATTCTTACTCTTTTATTCTTATTGTAGGAATCCATAGTACTGTTATCAATTGTTTTTAATAGAAAGCAATTCATAAGTGATAAACTGTTCTTACTGTTAGTTATTATTAATAATTTTGGCTTTCTTTACATGTACGTACTAAGTGGGTGAAATATATATGTGTATATTGTCTGTTATAACATCTGCCTCTTAATTACACACATATTCCAAACAATGAGCTTAGCGTAACAGTGTTAGTTCAAAATCTTAGTTAATGTTCCTGGCGGCCCGGAGGAGCCACCACTTATTCCATCAGAAGTCATGGCGCATAGTATTGTCTGCGGTCACCGTGCATTACCGCTGCGGTTTTCTCCGGGGCGTTTTGTTTTGATGCCAAAGGTCGACGGGGTCGGGGAGCAGCCCCCTTTTCCGCCTTCCGGTTGGTTTGCCGACAAACTGGCTCGGGGAGCTCTGCTGGAGCTGCCCCCTGCCCCGCCCCGCCTCACGGGCTAAGTGGCACGGCGCTACCCCTCTTCACCCCCTCGCCACACCCCGCCCTCCCTCTGGCTCTCTCGCTCTCTCTCTCTCTTGCTCTCGCTCTCTCTGTCTGTCTCTCTCCAGCACACCCTCGCCGCCCTCTCTTTCTCTACGGCGCCTATAGCGCACCCCGTCACCATTACGTAACGAGGGAGGAGACTTGACTGATTGAGTGGGGGCGGGGCGGGGGCGTGGCGGGCTTACCTCACCGGGGGCTGCTAGCAACCGGACTCGGACATCCAACAAACTTTTGATTTGCTGCGAAGCCAGCTTGATTCGTGTACCAAACACTTCTTTTGAGCTCCGGTTTAAGCGAGAGCAAAGCGGGAAGAAAAGGCTCGAAGGGGCGTGGAGGGCACCCACCGGGCCTGGTATAGAATTTGATACTGTACTCTACTGTACATGTACTTTTACAGGTACACTACTGCACCCGAAAGCGCGCTTGCTGAGTGTCAGTTACTGTTGCAGTAAGGGAGAGGGACCTAAGGGAGGGGTACCTTGGAGACACAACGTTAGCCAGACCCGGGCGTTCACGTTCAAACTCACAGCCAGAAAGTACGTCCGCTATTCCACCTTCCGAACATGCTAAGTTGAGCCTATGCAGGCTTTCATAGCGCCTGGTAGGTAGACAACATCTGACCTGCAAGACATACGTGTATTGCGGGGTGGCCTACCCCGAGTCCAGCAGGCGCCCAGCTCCTGCAATTTCCCGAACGAATCTGAGAAAATCGGACGTACTTTCTGGACGATCCCTATGTAACCGAATCATTACCCCTCGACGACACTCACTTGATTAGGATGGTGGTAAAACTTTCTGTAACATTGCGGCAAAATGGATTTCAAGTATGAATGTGCACAAATTTGAGGTTTAATTAGTCGGGAATGGATTACGAAGTGCACCCTGTCGGCTATTCGGTGCACGATCGTTTTCTTTTTTGGGGG